GTAGTCTGTATTTCATGGCCATGTGTGCCTCCCTTCCCTAAGACTGCTCTTCTAATTTCTTTTATTTTTTGAGATTATAATATAATTAAGCCTTTTTCCCCCACTCTGAACCTTACTATATATTAATTCTTGCTGTCTTCCAGAATCATAACCTTTGCTTTCAATGTTACACACACACACACACACACACACACACACACACACACACACACCACTGTTTTCCTCACACACATCTTCACGATTATCGAATAAACTAGTTATACAATTAATGACTAGGCTAGAGGGAAAACAGGAAACAGTAAAAGGAGGTGGGAATCACAGAAGACAAGGAAATACAGCAGCAGATCATTGATACTGACAATGGTCATTGAAGCCACAGAAGTAGAATGATGGTGATGAGGATGGCTGTAGCTGTGGCAGCAAAGAAGTGGTACAAGGCACAATAGCAATGAGAGGTAGCGGAAAGGTTCCAGAAAGTAGCCAGGGCAAAAGCAAGAGGAATGATGGAAGTCAAGAGAAGGCAAGAGAAGAGAGAGCAGGGCATGGATGTAACGCTGAGAGGCCATGGTCTGGCCATAGGCAGAGTTTCCTAACCAGCTCACAAAGCAAGTCTGCTGGCTTAGGTCCAGAAAAGGGGTCTTTGCATCAATCATAGAGGACCTTTATGCAAATGAAGTTTCATGTTTAGACTAATCAAGGCAGTGTTTCCTTTTCAACAGGTACAGCAGTTCCTGTGTTTGGCCACAAGGGCACCTGCTTCCCTTCTGTCCCAAATGAAACTATCAAAAGAAAACCCACTGTCTCCATTAGGGTTTCTATTGCTGTGAAGAGACACCATGACCATGGCAATGCGTATAAGGAAAACATTTAATTGAGGGGGCTGGTTCAGTCCACTATCATCATGATGGGGAGCATGGTGGCATGCAGGCAGACATGGTGCTGGCTACATCTTCATATGCAGGCCACAGGAAATTGACTGACATATTGGGTGGTAGTTTGAGCACATGAAATCTTAAAGCCTACCTCACAATGACATACTTCCTCCAGCAAGGCTGTACCCACTCCAACAAAGGCACATTGCCTAGTATTGCCACTCCCTTTTGATGCACAGCTGTAATTAGTCTTAATAATAAAAACCCAGAGTCAGATATCAGGGTAAAAGCTGAAAGATCAGAGAAGTAAAGGAGCACCCACAGTCACCTCTTACCTCTGCGACTCCTCAGATGAAAAGGGCTGAGCTACTGTCTCTGCTACTGCCTTATCACTTCCTCTCTCCGCCCAGACATACCACTTCTTGTGTCCTGTCTGTACAGACCTCCAAACCCCTACGGTTAACTAGTGGTTAGCTCCACCCTCTGATCTCCAGGCAAGCTTTATTTGTCAGAACACAAAATATCACAGCACCCTATTAGATTATAGGGGCTGATTACATTCAAACTACCACACCCACCTTACACTCCATAAGCTGATTGATGTAATCATGGGGAGCTGAACCTTCCGGGACTGGGATGGTGTTTCAGCAGAAAGCAGCTGTGATGCTCATGTAGCTTCCTCAGGTATGTGTTTAGCTCACCTGGTGCTGTCATAGGGTTGTCTGGCTACTTGGGTGACAATGTGCTGCTCAAAGCACCAATGAGATGTCTGACAGCTGTCAACGAGGGAGTCAGTTCCCTTCACTCTTCAACACGGTAGCTTACTTACAGGAAGAACAGACATTGGAAACAATAGGAAAATAAGGGAATAGGTTTTAATAGTGATTTAGTAATGCTCAACGCCTGCATAGTCCCCCAGGAGAGGAGGCTCTCCTAATCTATGCCATAAGGCATCTTCTGACACTACCCTGTTTGTGACCCACTGAAAAACCAGTCCTGCCCCTCCTTCTTGCCCATTGCAAACTTTCCAGATGGCTTCCACTATCTGAAGAGCTGATATAGACATGGGTAAGGCAGCAGTGGTCCAACAGAGGCATCTAGCATTTAGTTATATCTGAGGATTCATGGACGAAGAGCCCTGGTGCATTGGAGTTCACAGAAGCCCCATGCTGTGGGTTTTCTCTTATCTCCCAGTTCGCTAAAACACTTGCTTGTTACTTAGTGCTATTGAGCCTCTTATAAACAAGATTCTATCAAGTTCTTTTTGGAAGCCAGTCTTTCAATAAGGAATTTCAGCAAATCCACATCCATTTTGAGTGTTAGCTGTTGGTTTAAATCGTTCCTGTCACTTCTGCTATGTCTTTCATTCACACAGTATTCTGAAGTGTGTGTGTGTGTGTGTGTGTGTGTGTGTGCGCGCGCGCACCCACATCCTTTTGTTCTCTCTTTCTATATGTGTTTAAATAATTAACTTTTCCCTTTAGAGCTCTATTTTTTCATAAATGTAAAAAATACTATAATTTTCCAGCTAATGCAATGTAATAGTTGCTGAGTTACACTCTGTGTCCTCAAATTCAGCTTTTGATGTGAAGAGATAAGCCACCTAGGATGAATCCAACATCTCTCTATCTTAACACACAAGAGGGATTACATGGGTTTATTCCAGAACTTTAGAAACTTGGAACAAAATGATTGTCTTGTATATAAGATACATATAATATAATTATATTAATTAAAAATTAATCTCTAAAATTTCCCAATTAAAGAAGACTCAAACTGTTACTTATACTAAGTTTCTGACTGATTTTATCATGTTATCCTTTAATAGTCTTACTTAAAAAAGTGCTTTAGGTTTTCTTTTTCTATAATCTTGTTTTCTGTGTTGCTAGGCATCAAACCCAGTGCCTTACTTATGCTCATGCTGAGCAAATGCTCTTATCTGAGTTTATGTCCGGCCAATAAGTATTCTATTTGTTAAATCTTTATTTTCAATTTTTTTAAATTTTTTTTTAACTTTTTTAGGTTGTTATTTGAAAAGTAGTTACATCATTTCCCATTTCCCTTGTGTCCCGTTCAACCATCCCATATATTCTTTCTTGCTGAGTTTCAAATTCATGGCTTCTTATAATTGTTACATACATATATGTGTAGGTATATACATATATATTCCTAAATATATAAATGTAATCTGCTGTTTGCATAATATGACTTGTATGTATGTTTTCAGGGATGCTCATTAGATAATGAATTAGTGTACTTTTCTCTGGGGAAGTCTATTTCTCATGCTCTCAGTATTCCTCTGTGGCCTGTAGTTATGTGTGTAGGATTGAAGTCTCTTGGGCTTTCCCCTTCCACATTAGCACATCTATTGCTGTTGTCCTTGTTCATCTCATTTTTGAGAAAGTCATATAGGAGAGATTTTATGAGGGTAGCTTAGGAAATTCCTATGAGCTACAACCAGCAACCTTCTTAATCTTCCAGATATTATAATCTTTCTACCCCCTCTTCCAAAATTATTCCTCAGTCTTAGGTATTGGATTGTGTTGTAGATGTATTAACTAGGACTAGGCTTTGTAGCACTACATTTTGATTGGTTGTGGTTTTCTGTAATGGACTCTGCTGCAAAGAGTTTTCTTGATGGGGGCAGGGGGAGATTGCACTTACCTGTGGATATAAGGATGAATATTTAGAATGAGGGATTATACTGGTTTAGTAAAGTGGTAGTGATAGTTTGTCTTAAAGTTCTATTGCTATGAAGAGATACCATGACCATGGCAACTCTTATAAAGAGCCTACCCACAATAGAACACTTCCTCCAACAATCCATGCTTACTGACGAACCTGCTTGACTCCATTTTGAAGGTGGGAGCCATTATGCTGTATTGTTAAAGTTAAGTTTCTCTTTACTGAGTAGCTCTCTGTTTCCTAGAACCTGACCTTCCCCAACCCATGACCTTGACTTGTTTTTGAGAATACCCTTACCCTCTTTTACCCTCTCCCTCTGTGAACCCTCTCTAGTCACAAAGTGACCACATGATTTTTCCTCCCCTGTATTTCCTTAGGCTCCATTGTCTCTTTTCCTTAAAAACTATTTGTGATTTTATTTCTTAAAGCAAGAAATAATTTGGGGCTGTTCTCTTTAACTGATGAAGGAGGCAGTCACTGGCCAGCTTGCTTAAAATTAAGCTTGCTTAAAATTTGGCTCAAATTATGGTAGTGGTCTTATTCTAGTGGTTGGGATTAACACTAGTCCAACAAATAGTGTCACTCCCTAAGCATTCAAATATATTAGACTACTTTAGTAGTCTCGAGTACTTGGCTAGGTTTCCAGTACCAGGCATGATTTTCTCCTTGTTGTGAGATGGGCTGTCCTAAGTCTAATTAGAGAGCTGTTGGATGCTGCCAAGGTATGGGTGCCACTACTTTACCCTTAGGGTTCTCCTGCCATGTTAGTTCTTACTGTGGTTCATCGAATCATAGCTGGGGAAGACTTTTGGTTTCTTTCTCCCATCTGAAACTTTCATGGTGCCTTCTGGTACCATGAAAGCTAGTTCTCAGGGAAGAGGCATTTGGGGCAGTTCCAGCTCAAAGGTTGCTGGGCCTGTATCTGAAGTTCAGGGTGTCTTTAGCCTAAGGACTTACCTCCCACCTCTTCAGGGCAAGCAATGGCAATGATAATAGCCTATAATGTTTTGGGAGTCTCTTGGACAGCCCTGAACAGCAACTCAAAAGATGTTGGGTTTTCTGTTAGGTAGTCTGTGCCTCTTAGAGGAAGCATTTTCAGCTTAGATGGAAAATTTTCATTTAAATTGAATGTGTCTGTTTATACAGCCATTTACATCTATTCTAAGTATTTTTAGGTAAATAGTTAATAGCATGGTTCTATGGCAGTTTGAATGAAAATGGCCCCCTAGGCTGATGTGTTTGAATGCCTTATCCCCATTTGGAGGAACTTTTGGGAAGTATTGGGACGTGTGACCCTATTGGAGGAGGTATGGCCTTGTTTCAGGAAGAATGTCTGGAAAAGTCATAAAGAATCTGTCTTAGTTAATTCTATATTGCTGTGACAAAACACCCTCACCCAGGCAATTTAAAAAATAAAGCATTTAATTGGGGGTTTACTTACAGTTTCAGAGGATGAGTCCAGGAACGTCATGGTGGGAAGCATGGCAACAGGTAAGCAGGCAATGTGCTGGAGAAAGAGGTGAGAGCTCACATCTAATTCACAGCCACTGAGTAACTGAAATGGTGTGGGCCTTTGAAGCCTCAAAGCCCCACGGATGTACTTCCTGCAACAAGGCCATGATAGAACCAGTATTTGGCTGCCTTGAAATCTTCCTTGCAAGTGAAATTAGTTCAAAACCTTTCAATTTACCCTCATGTAGAGTTTTAGGGCAAGGGCAAAAAGCAGCCACAGACTTTGCTAAAATGCCAAAAGGATGGTCTTTAGAGCAGTGTCGAATATTGTTCCCCTCTGAAACCTCTTATCTGTGCCTCTGTAGTCCATACTACTCCCAGCAGTACTATCTTCCAAGCTCTTTCTAAGATAATCTATCAAGCCCTGCTTACAACTTTCAACTGCTTTCCTCATCTAAAGTCTTACAGCATGTTCAGGCCTGTCACACCAAGAGCCTACTTCCTAGTACCAATTTCTGTCATAGTTACTTTTATATTTCTGTAATAAGACACCATGACCAAGGCAACTTATAGTGTCGTAGAGTTCTAGATTACCAGAAGACCACTGGGACTCTATCGAAATTTTAATCAGCCAATTTTGTTTAATCTGCAGGTGTCCATAGTCCCATGAGTGGATTTGTGACTGTGGACCTGTCTAAAGCTGGATAAGGTCTTTTAAGGTCAAAACTCACGATTATACAATTACTTCATTACTGTGGGTGTAAACCTTGTAGACATGATATAACACTCCAAATCTTGTCTTTTACAAGTGTCAATTAAACAAGTTTACAGAAGCCAGATAAGCAGTTAGTTCATCATTCACAACAGTTATATAATTTTGGGAAAGGACAAAAAGAGCTTAGTTAGTGGTCAGCAGTTCTGGAATAGTTTAAAAGGCTTAACCTTCTGGAATTATTTTAATAGACATCAGTTGTTGACAAGGCCAGCCTCAGGCCTCCAGAATGGTTGTTTTGGTCAAAATGGAGTCATTTTAGCCACTCCAGTAGAAAAAAGAGGTCATTGGGGCATATGATTTCAGAGGGTGAGTCTATGATCATAGTGGCAGGGGGTGGAGAGGACAGGGCAGCTTGCAGCCTGGCATGGTGCTGGAGCAGTAACTTTGAGCTCACATCTTGAAACAGCAACTACAAGGCAATCAGAGAAAGCTACCTGACAATGGCATAGGCTTTTGAAGCCTCAGCACCCAGCCACAGTGACACACCTCCTCCAGCAAGGACACACCTCCATATCCTTTTCAAAGAGTGCTGCCAGCTGGGGAACCAAGCATTCAAGTATATGAGCCTATGGAGGCCATTCTCATTCAATTCCTTTCCTTATTTTATTTTATATTCCTTGTTTGTTCCATCTAGATTCTCTACATCATCTTCAAGTCCCATTATTCTGACTTCTGCTTGAATCACTCTACTTGTAAACCTTTTCTTTGCCTTTTCTCATTGGGTTACTGGGTTTTTCAATTTCATCTTGAGTCCTCCACAATGCTTTTGTCTCTTTATTGAATTCTGTTTTCAAATCCTAGATTGTCTTTGTCATTTCCATCAGATTTATGTTTGTGTTTCCTTGGGTATTATCACTCAGACATTTATTCTCTTTATTTCTCCTTAGTTTCGTTGTGCTGTATCATTGTGTCGTCTTTAAATTTCTGGGATTATTTCATGGCTTTTATGATTATCATAGACATTATAAGGTTTCAAAATAAACTTTAATGTTAATATAATGTTAAATATTATTTGTATTTTATAGAATATAATACTATCAAAGAGATAAATGTTCTGTGCTTTCATTTGCTTTTTAATCAGCATAAAATTATCTAATTATTTTTTGTTTTATAATAGTGACCAGATAACCATAATTTAGTGGACTTGTATTGGCTAACAGAAAATTTAGGTTAATCATTGTTTGAAAGATTTATCTTATGAATCTAAGTCTAGCCTTGAACTTTTTACATAGCCAAGTATAACCTGCAGTTTCTGATCCTTTTGCCACTATATCTTATGTGCTGAGATTTAAGTAATGTACCACCAGGGCAGAATAAGTGGTGGTGGGAATAGAACCCAGGGCTTTCTTTGTGCATGCTAAGCAAGCACTCCTCCAACTGAGCTATAAGCTCAATCCATAAGTTAAATCTTGATTTTTTCCAATACAATAAGAGTGATATCTAAACATTCCTTAGACTTTTAGAGGTGTATCCTAGCAGAAGAATAAATTCATAAGGCAAAGATCTCAGAAGAATGTTTCTTTATTGAGTTGAGTCATAGAATCTGACCCCTTTTTCTTTCATGGCATTCAGATGAATTTAACCATTTCACAGGTCAGTACAGCCTCAGCTTTCTCAGATTTACACATCCTAGGTCTTAGCATCCTTTCCTTCTATTTTCATTATAAACTGAGCAGGAAGAAGTAAATGCAGAACAGATGAATTATTTACACACAGAAATTATTTACATGTAAGAAAAAATCTTGCTTTTATTTTTTTCAGTGTAACTGTTAGTAAAACTGAAGAGGGGAAAACAGATAAGTGGAGTAAAAGCTTACATGTAGGGTTCTCAGGTTCAAAAACAAATACGACAGAGATTGAGGGTATTATGAAGTCAAATTAGCATGGTCAGAATCATTGTTTCTTGTTTTTAAAATGAGTTCATTTACACTTAAAAGATGTTAATAATTTTTAAATGAAGCATAGTAGGAAAATGATTAAATAAATAATCATGACTGTGAAGGAAAATAAATAACCAAGAATATTGAGTTATTTGTTTTTTCCCATAAGTTCTTAGTCTGGGCATGGATACCCACATAACTACATCACAAGAATCTGAAAACTGCTTATGTCCTTAAGAATGCACCGGTTTTCAGCTCCCCTTCCTCACACAACTACCCCCTCTCCCCGTACTTGTGGGAGGGGAAGCCTTCTTTGTTCATCAATGATATTGTATGTGTTGTGTGTAGCTGCCCCTCTGCATGCTCCACTCCTGTGAGACCCACTGAGAACAAGGAGACGAGTGCTCTTCAGACATCAAAAGGAAACCAAAAGTGAGCAAGGATGAAATTGAGGCCAAAAGGTTAAGAGAGGAAAGATGTCCTCGTTCTTTTTCTGGGCCAGTACATGGTGGTTTCTGTTGGAGTGAGCAATTACAGATCTCTGATGGGCCAGGTCTCTGTACTTCTGCCCCAGGCCTTGATAATTTGGTCCTCGGTGCAGTTGTCCTCGAATTTTTTCTATTTCTTCTTTATACTCTAGGTCAAAAAGTCTTAGGTAAAGACTTCTATTTTCTGTAATAAATACCCAATTTCAAACAGCTGCTGTGAGAGTGCCGAGCCAAAAGAAAATGTTTCTTAGACTTGCCCCTATTCCTTTAGAATCAGTCAATAAAAGGTGAATCTAGTCTGAAAATTGTAGATCAAATGGACAGACCTCATGGCATATATGCTTGTCCGTGCACACATTTCAGGAGTACGTCTATTAATAAATGTGTATCTGCCGCCCTATTTCTGTTGTATGACTGTGATATGTACACTCTCTCTGGTTGGTGGTGCTGTTAGGGAGGTTATGAATGAGTTAGAATGTGGAGCCTTACCAGAGGAAATACATCATTGGGGGTGGGCTCCCCACTTCCAGTTCACTCTCTCTCTGCTTCCTCTATGGAGGCGAGAAGTTGAGGCATGGACTCTCAGCTTCCTGCGCAATTTCCTTCAGCCATGCCTTCCCCACCATTATGGATAGATAACTCTCTGCAACCACACACCGAAGTCAATTCTTTCCTCTATAAATTACTTTTGGCCATGAAGCTATATACGAGCAATAGAAAAGTAAGTAATACAAAGTGTCCTTCCCCCTTTATCTGCCTTAACTTGTTCTTCTTCCTGTAGATGGGAGCTGATCTTTGAAATGGTTTCTCAGGATTCTCTGTGTCCATTCTCCTCCGTTTAGGTTCTGTCATCCTGAGGGTCAGGACATGGGGTGGGGTGAGGGCAGCTAGACTCTCTTTAATTTTCCTTGTATCTCAGTTGGAATCTTTAGTAGTGAAATCCTTATGTTCCCAGTCCCTTCTAGAGAGCTTTCTCTTGCCACCAGCCTTTGTGACCTCAGTCACACCTAAAAGCAAGCACTGTGAGACCAGTTGCTGTCAGTGGTCTGTCCTCAGGGAATGTGGTTCTTCTTGCTGGATCCTTCTGCATGGCCCATCTGGGGCTGTCTTGCATGGCCCAGTCACTGAGGTCTCAGCTGGTGACAGTGGCCTCTCAATTTCAGTTACCTTGCCTTCTCTATCTTTGGTGGGTGGTTTAACTTCAGAGTGTCTTCACTTCCATGCTGTCATGCTTTCTGAAACCTCTGTGGCTGATTTGCTAAATTAAATTTCCTGACGGGGTTCTGCTTTTGAGATGGAAACTAGCTCAACAGAGTCATCTCACATGGACTGCACCCACTTCCTTATGAAGTAACAAAGAAGTAAGAGGAAAGGATGAGTGTCTGAAGGAATTGTTTGATTTTTTAAAAACTATCTATATTGTTTTCTAGTTCATGATAACCATTTCTTTCCTGTCCTCAATTCATCACAGTAATGAAATTCTGATATTCTCTCTATAAGACTATCAGCTGCAAGGTGGTATTTTACAACTTTGAGAGTTTGTTCATTAATTGATTATTGATTGCAAAAGCAGAAATCACTCTCTCTGTTTTTTTGTAGAATAATTTTGCATAAATGCTGTGGAGATAGTTCATAATTATAATTTCTAAGACAGAAGTAAAAATGAATGTTTTAAATAGATTTCCCAATAAATCCAGGTGCCAGTTTTATAAGTAATAAGTAACTTCCTTTTAAAAATTTAGTCCATTCTGAACACTTCTAAGACATTCCTGTGTGTCTGCATGTATGGAATTAGTAGGAAGAAACTCACTAAGATCAGAAAGTATCTGCATGAAAATTTAAGTCATTCTCATAGCTGAAAAGTTTTTCCACAAATTTTGTATATTTTGAATTTATTAATTGCTTATAGTCTTTGAAGAATTATTATCTTCTTTGAATAATAAAACTAAAGAAAATATTTTCCCAATATAGCTGCTACCCACCCTTAGCTTATTCTATAAATGAATGTGATAGTTACCACTGCTTTCTAGGTTCTAGAGTGTTTCGGTTTCAATAAGGCTTGAGTGTGCCCTTCAGGGCTCATGTGTGGAAACTCAATTCTCGTTGTGAGATATTAAATGATAGAAAAATGAATCTAAAGTGGTTAGAGGTTATGCCTTTGGGATATGATTGGAACTATACAAGATTATTAGAGTATCTTCATTATTGAACACTGGTAAAATTGCAATAGGAGGGAGAGTGACCAAAAGAGATGCACATTCATCTATCCTGTCTCTTGCTACTTGGTGACCCACAGTGCCCCAGGACTCTACCAGCAAGAAGACCATTCCCAGATGAGGCCCCTCAACCTTGAACTCCAGGCCTGTGAGCAAATATCAACGTCTTTCCTTGATGAAGTTACATGCCCTCGTATTTCAACACAGTAACAGAAAATGGACTAGTATAAAGAACAACCTTAGGACTGCCTCATATTTTATTAAATTTGTAAAATATTTGGCACAGTAAAAACCCTCCACATCTGGATTGGACTCACTAGCCTGGTCTGTTCTTTCTTTAGGTTAACTTCCATTTTTCATAGATTGTCTCTCAGGAACTACAACCTTCACAACGGAGGCTGCTTGGTTTAAATCTATCCTGGAGACACCCAAAGCAAACCCTCTTATGGATTGTATTAGCAGAGAAAGATTTTATACATGAGCTATACATTGTTGCTAGTTTTTTTTCTAATTTTCCATGGAGAAGAGTCAGCAAAATTTACTCTCTCTCTCTCTCAACACTGTGGTTGGGAAGTGCAATATCTCCCATTAAGGAGGAAAAACAGAGGAGGACAATGTGTAGGTATTAAAAATTATAAAGATAGTTGAGTATTTTCAGACTTGTAAACTAAATAACAGAAGTGTGCACATAATTTGAGGAATGTCTAGGCCAAGCAAAGACTCCAAGAAAGCTGAAGTCAAACAAAGGTTATTTCTTGCTCAAAGTCCATCTAGCTAGCAAGAAGCCTGAGCCATTGGGCCATACAGTTTAATTAATATAAGCATCTGTGTGTTTCTTTGGGTCTGATTGGCTGCAGACCGGGTGGGACTGGAGAAAACTCCAGCTACAGCAAACTTCTTTCCCGAATCCAGCACAGCTGTGCTGTGTGCAGCGTCTTAGGAATCTAGCCACCTGCTTGTTGTTACTCTGTGTAATCTCAGCGCAGGACTTTCTGGGTTTTGGTGCTATGGTTTAGGTTGCTAATTTTCTAGAAGGTTTATGTGGTGAAGGTTTGACTTCCAGCTGCCTGTGCTGTCAGAAGGTTTTAGTTTTGGAATCTTTAGCAATTGAGGCACAGTAGAAGTCCTTAGGACATTGAGGGTGTTCTCCTGAAGGGGTAATTGCCTCTTCTCTGCTTCCTTGCTGCTTCAGGGTGAACAGACATCTACTAGGTGATCACACCATGGTGCCCTGTGTCACCACAGTGCCAGGCAACCATGGGCTGAAACCCCAGATGAAAACTGAAACTAACCCTCCGTCCTCATCAGGGGTTTATCTGGGTTATTTTCTTATAGCTATGGAAAGCTGACTAACACCCTGGACCTGGGAACAAAGAGATTGGATAATTTTACATAGGAGTGTGGAGTTCCACATACTTGATTGATAGTTCATTAAATTTGACTAATCTTGGATTTGATGGATGAAAATTAGCCTTAGGGAGCTTGGAGTCTGGAATAAGAAAAGGACCAAAGGATATGTATTTCAGTTAGCATCTAGAATTCAGGGAGATGGAGGAACAAGAAGGAAAGAGAAAACAGGAAAGGATGGGGGAAGAAAGAAACAGCTAAAATTCATGAGTTTAGTTTTGAAATTAAGAGACAATTGAATGTTTTGGACTCTGTAGTGAAAATCAACTGCAAACACAAATCTTTATAATATTAGATTCTGAAAATATCCTATCAATGAATAAGAACATAGAAGCTTCTCCCCAGGGGTAATATGTTTTCTCATCTTCCTTCCTGTTACAAATTAAAGAAAGCACTCACAAGGACCATAGTTGCAACCATGCCCCAAACATAGTACTCCCCTGTCCTGGAAGATGCACGGTAATCAACTAGGATTTGAGTCATTTACTTACTTAAACATATTATGGCTTGTCACATATTTACCGTGATCTTCATATTTGTTCGTTCATTATAATAGGGCACACTACCTGGGCACTGGTGGCATATGCCTTTAATCCTAGCACTCGAGAGGCAGAGGCTAGTGAATCTCTGAGTTTAAGGCCAGTCTCGTCTACAGAGTGACTACCAACACTGCCAAAGCTGTTACACAGAGAAACCCAGTCTCAAAAAACCAAATAATAATAATGGTGATGATGATGATAATAATAATAAATAATAATAAGGCATACTAATTAAAGGGAGCATCTTGAAATCTAAATCGTTATGAGTCCATGAGGGTGGCATTTAATGTTCATCCAAGAAGTACTGTGTAGCTAGAGTTTTCCTGCCTTGCCCACATTCAGGACAAATCTCTGCCTACCGCCAGTCCCACAGCCACTCAGACCCAACCAAGTAAACACAGAGACTTATATTGGTTACAAACTGTATGGTCATGGCAGGCTTCTTGCTAACTGTTCTTATAGCTGAAATTAATCCATTTCTATAAATACCTTGCCACGTGGCTTGTGGCTTACCGGCATCTTCACATGCTGCTTGTCATGGCAGCGGCCGCCATGTCTCCTCCTGCCTTTCTGATCTCTCAATTCTCCTCTCTGTTAGTCCCACCTATATTTCCTGCCTGGCCACTGGCCAATCAGTGCTTTATTTATTGACCAATCAGAGGATTTGGCATACAGACCATCCCACAGCAGTACTGTGTACTGGACCTACTTCAAACAAAATTATCCTGATTAGCACAGACTAACCATGTCTCCTTATTCTGAACCATGGAGAATTAAATGCCTCTATATAGTATATTAAAACACTGGTTATGATAAAGGAATTGCAAATTTATTTTAAGCATTTATTTTAAAGTATTTTTTTTAAACTCTTACTGGCAAATGAATATTGAAGCTACTTGTGATGATTTCAGTAGATTTTAAACTTACTCAGACTTATTTGTTGTGATATTGTGTTCTCCAAAATATTGTGCACCCTAATAAATTTATCTGGGGTCAGAGAACAGAACAGCTACTAGATAGATACAGAGGCCAGAAAATGGTGGCACACATGCCTTTAATCCTATCACTTGGGAGGCAGAGATCCATCCAGATCTCTGTGAGCTCAAAGCCACACTGGAGACAGCCAGGCATGGTAACGCATGCCTTTAATCCCAGGAAGTGATGGCAGAAAGCAGAAAGGTATATAAGGTGTGAAACCAGGAACTAGAGGTGGTTAAGCTTTTAGGCTTTTGAGCAGCAGTTCAGCTGAGACCCATTCAGGTGAGGACACAGAGGCTTCCAGTCTGAGGAAAGAGGATCAGCTGAGGAATTGGTGAGGTGAGGTAGCTGTGGTTTGTTCTGCTTCTCTGATCTTCCAGCATTTCACCCCAATACCTGGCTTCAGGTTTGTTTTTTATTAATAAGACCTTTTAAGATTCGTGCTACACTTACTCATATCAGGTATTCACACAGGGGCCAGGGAGCAGGATGAGAGTGTACAATGCTTGCTGTATAAGTGTACAAGCATAAGGACCCTAGTTTATATCTCCAAGATCAATGGAAGAATCTGAGCTCAGTGGTGAACACTTATAACCCCAGTGCTGGGAAGATGGAGGCAAGAAAATCACTGAGGCTCACTGGTCAGCCAGCTTAGCTGAGTCAGGGAACCTCAGGTTCAGTGAGAGGCACTGTCTCTCAAACAAGGTCATCAGAAAATACCCTCATTGTTAACCTCTGCCCTCTTCACATAGACACGTGCATATGAATACACACACATACACACACGAAAATCCATTCATATATAAAAGAAAAAAAGATAGAATGTGCATGTTTTGGGTTTGTAAGCACCACAGTAGCCACCACCCTGCATCACCTCGTCTCATTAAATCACTACATTAATTTCAAATGGAAGTGCGTGCTACACATGAACAAGAGATTTCTGGGTCACTGTCTGGTTATTAATGTATAAGTAGTTCCCAGCACCTTGCTGGCTCAGATGCCTCATTAGCAATGCCATTGTTGAATGAATTGGGCTGGGGTTTATAACCCACCCTGACCCTACACAGTGACTCCTGGGGGGCCTTGGAGAGCAGTTGCCACACATCATGTTCATTGCCTCTGGGTGATGTAGAGAAATTGTCAGGCCCTATTCTGCCTGTCTGTCATTCAAGGAAAGGCAGAAGATAGCGAGAGCTTGTCACCAGCGAAATGGAACGAGCTGCAGCAGCTGCAGGCTCTTTATCTCCCTCCAGGAGCTGCGGACAGCAGTACACTGTGGCCTAGCTTCAGCCAGCATGCAGGTGGCCAGGAGTATGGAATAATCATAAAAACCACTTGGCACATCAGCCAACCCTTCACAATAACCATATTAACCATATTCTAGTCTCTCCTTTTCTTGGTTTTACTTGATTTTCCTTTCGTCTCTCATAAACTTCCAGTGGTTAGCTCTGCAGCTCTCTTGTACTGTTGATGAAGGAAACTCACAGGTTAGAAGGCACAGGAATTCCACCTTCCTGCATTGCTGATACCACTGTCTTTTTATGACTACAGTTCTGGTTAACGAGTGGATGAATTGAGTTTTTATCAATGTGTTTATCTTGCATTTTTGTAAAAATTTTGTGTGTGTGTGTGTGTGTGCATGCTACAGTGTGAGTGTGGAGGTGTGAGTACAATTTTTCAGGAGTCAGTTCTAGCCTTGTTGAGACAGTCTGTTTTGTCTCTGCAGCACCGTGTATAGTAGCAGGTCAGCCGACCACTGAGCTTCCGGATAGTTCTCTTGTCTCAGATTCCCATCTGGCTGTAATGATGCTGGCATTACAGACACATGTCTCTGCATCTGGCTTTGGTTATGTAGGTTCCTGGGATGGAATTTGGATTGATAGGTTTGTGTGGCTAAAGCCTTTACCCATTGGCACATCTCCCCTCTCTCTTTTGATCCTTAGTCTGGAGATTGATGTAAAAATTTATAGTTCTGTTTTTTACAACCATTTCTTCTGAGTTCTGTGTTTTATAAATATTATAGTTGAGAATATTACTATATTATATTAAAGGTTAGAAATCAAGTTTCTCATTTGAGAAACTGTGGTAATAGTGTTGACAGTATTTGGGATTGAATATAGGAGAGATGGAAGTGTGCACTAGTTATTTTTCATTTCAGTAACAAAATAGATAGCAAGTGCATCTGAAGGAAGAAAGAGTTTATTTCTCCTCTTGGTGTGAGGAGATGTACTCTATCATGAGAAGAACTGGTTCTATAAGTGTGAATATATTACCTTGCATGGTCAACAGACCTTTCCAAATGTGATAGTATCAAGGATTTTTTAATCAGGGGGTTATCCTGTAATGTTCAGATTAACCTAGTATAATCAGAAGACTTATTA